GGAAAGGGGAAAGGGGAAAGGGAAAGGCAGTTTGAGCATAGCTCCCCCCCAGGCTGGCAGAGGGGAGGCAGCAGGATTACCGGGAGCTCTCCTCCTTCCCCGGGCTGTCTGGAGCAGGGTGAGCACTGCCCCAGTAGCGAGCAACGGCCGCTGCCTCCCTGGCCATCAGGTGAGTGGATTTGGACTTTCTGTTGGAAATAAAAGGGCCTTTTTTAAGTGGGCTGCAGGGACCCAATCAGGCTAATGCAGTCCCAGCTTTTGAAGCTCTGGGCACAGAGGCACTGACCAGCCCTGACCAGAGAGCCACAGAGGCAGCTTCCCAGTGCTCACCATGCCTGTTAACACTGCTCCCACAGCAAGCCCAGCTTTGCCACTAGGAGACAACTGGTTTTCTGCAACTGACTGACCCACTTGCCCTTTACCTGTTAGTCTGATCCCAGTCTTTGCTAGGCTCTAAGCTGCTGATGTTCTTTGGTTTCTGCCCAGTGATTTCATCACGTTCAATCTTGACAAAATCTGAAGGGGGAAAAAAAAAAAAAGGCATAAAAGGATGTTTTGGCATCCTCACAGTCCAATTCCCTAAGTTTTCTGTGTTACTTTGTCTATCAGAATGACAGGGAGATGTATTTCAACATATTTGTTGATATGTTTGATATGTCATGTTCAGATCATAGGAAATTACATGTATCTTGAAATACAAGGGTCGTGAGCCCCCACACAGTCATCTGGAGATCATTTTACTATTGATAATAACAGTAAATGGCATGAGGCTGCTTTTGTACTCTGAAAGAGAACAACAGGTAGCCAGGCTTTTTTTCCTTGTAGCTGAGGAGCTGCTCTTGAGAGCCTCATGTGCTCCTTGCAGATGTTCCCCAGGGTGGCTGGTACAGAGTGAGCGTCTGCACCTTGTCACCCAGCGACTGCAAGTGGGAATCAGGCACCACCGTTCAGTAAAATCAGTAGCAGTGACAGGCAGGGGGCTCTCTCAGGCTGCTGAATTTACTTGAATGATAAAAAAAGAAAAGCCCAAATGGGATTGCTGTGCCTTTCTGAAGGAGTACAGGTATACCCCTGAGAACTAACAACACTCACATCTCCTTCAGTCAGCATCAAAAGCTCTTGGCTCTTTGGGACTAAAAGCACTGCAAGGGTAATTTCCAGTTCCTTGACAGCTATGAGAAATCTTTTGAGATGGATATTGTTCAGAGCAAGCATTGCAGAGATGATCTTGTTCCTTACCATATAGCTTCTCTCTCTGTTTTCCTTGTGATGTCTGTAACTTGATTTCACCTTGGAAAACCCCAGTTTTCTCCCCATGGTGTGTCAGCACAGCATGGATAGGCACTAAGGACTCTGTTGCTTCTATTCCCAGGGCAATGCAGCCTTCCCCTAGAGGATGACAAGGCAACAGTGAGCCTGGGGCTGAGGGAAAAAGAAGCATTGGAATCTCTTTCTCCTCTCAGTCTTCTACTATCACTATGCCAGCAGGGCTGAGGCTATTGGAGAGAATCTTGGATCCCTGTGAGGAGTGTAATATCTTTTGAGAAATTAGGGGCATTCATTTCACTTCTTCACATACGTGTGAAGGATTTGGGCACTGGAGATACCCAGAGGTGGCTACAGAGTTCTGAGCTGCCATTACTGGCAAGGAAAACGTGATTTGTATGTTCTGAATAAACTCATTTAAACAAACTGACTCATGGTTTAATTCCTTTAAAGCACTTTCTTCTTAAGCCACTACTCTTTGAGGGTTGGTAAAGCTCACACAGATTGTTGCTTCTAGTTCATATTCCCCTAATCATCATTATCTCACAAAATATTGCCCACAGTGTATTTTTGTATGTATTGAGTTTTAAATCAGAAGTCAGAGCACCAGAGATGCTCAGTCTGTAAGAGTTACTTCTGTTCTCTCCCACTCTTGGCAGTTTGGAAAAATCTAAGGAGCTTTTGACTCATCCAGAACTTCAGCTATGCCATACACACTTACCATAGGACTCATCACTGTCTGATGACTTAATGCTGATGAGGATGTGTTGATCCAGAAGATATTCTGGGTCTGAAATAATTGGAGTCAGCTGCAAGACAAGTTACTGTGGGTCAATACAATGTGAACACAGGTCTCTCTGTGCCTCAGTCCCAAAGGAGCAGAAGTCAGCTGGACAGACCCATGAGGGATCATGTCACCCCCAGGATCAGCCTCTTCAGTGATGTTTGGAGATCTGTGGCAGAAAGCTAACACCCTTTTAGAGTCCCCCCCAACTCTCACTCCCAGCACAGCAGACAGAATTCTACAAATCAGACACTCACACTGGGATGAGCTGCAGTTTTTTCCTACAGTGAGGACTGCAAATTGCTCCAGGAGGAAGTGATCTTGACTCTGATTACACTCTGTTCCCAAAAATCTGTTTGGCTGTTGTTATGATCACTTATTGCAGTCTTTCCCCAATCTCTCAGTGTAAGGCACTTTCCAAAGTCAGCAGTTCTTCTTTAGGGCTATTCATAATTCAAATGCATATTGAAATATGCATTTTGCTCCAGATCCAAGAGCTCTGATTGTTCTTCAGACTCCCACCGTGCCAGAAAATGGAGAACAGCTCCACTCTCAAGGACAGGATTTGTCTTTGACACTGACATGCAGAGCACTACTTGTGGCCACTGATGGTCTTTTTAACACTTAAAAAAACCCACCTAGTCAACTATTCTCAGAAATAGTCAACTATTCTCAAAAATCCCAAGAAAAAGCCCTTTCTCTCACAGGGCAAAGAAACTGCAGCACATGTGTTTTATCTTCCACCTAAAACAAAACCAAAAAAAAAAAGGACCTGCTTAAAAAACTTCTCAGCATAGTCACACTCACTAAAAAGGTGAGAAAAAAGTCACACTCCTGAGTGACAGAATCGGGCCAGTAAAATTCCTGAGGCAGATGAAAGTGTACTGGCCAGAAAGTCCTCTCCTGCTTGTAACATGCCCTGTTCAGCTTAAGCCCATCCTGTGTCCTTCCAGCCCTTGTGAGTGCAAACAAGAGCACAACCACATTCCTGAAAGCAACTTTTATATAACCCAAGGGGGTCATGGTGCTTCTGGAGCAAGTGGAAGGCTCCTCTTCTGTGTGGATATGGAAACACAGTCCCTGCTTACCTTTGGAAGAGCATCAACAAACTTTACCACAAGCTCCCCTTCGTTCCCATCCTCATTTTCTCCTTCCTGGCTCTTCACAAAACCTGCAAAGTGACGAGGAAGGAGCTCACCAGAAGAGACGCAGCAAGAACTCGGCTACAAATCCTTTCCAGATACTAAATCAACAAAAGGCCTACAACTATTTTCCCACTTGGACACAAGTATTAAAGAGCTTCAAGCCTGAGCTTTGGGTGAATGTTTACACGGGGAACTTCGATGTGATTTTCCTGGAGCATTGTTAAATGGTTTTATTTTACAGTTAAACTTGGCACTGAGAGGCTCGGTGCATGCACGGGCTGGAGGATGAGAACATGACAGCTCTTCCTACGCCACTCAAGATAGCACACTTTTGAAATTCTAATTTAAGATTCGTAATACGCCGTTTCCATAGAAATTTATGCAAATTTTGATAAAAAAACTAATCTGTTCTGGAACTGTCTCTAACACCGCGCGACGAGGCGCCGGAGCAGCGGCCGAAGGCTTGGTGGCCCACTTAGAGGAGCAGGCCTGTGGTGGGGAACTGCTTAAAAAACCCCCCAGCAAGAGCTCGTAGGCTCACGTTATGTAAAGAGCTGAGACTCAGCCCTGCAGCACAGCACCAGGAGAAAATCTGCAGTGCTGGGGGGGACACGGCCCCACTTCCAGACTCAAATCACTCGCGCTCCGTTCGCCTGGAGCTGATCCTCTGGCTCAGTCTTTGTTATTAAACCAGGGTAATGAAATTATTGTTATTTTGCTTTATTTTGAAAGCACCTGATCATTTGTGGCAGGCACAGTCAGAAATTGGACCCATCCTGTGTTTGCTGAGTAGGGATTTTCTGTGTGATAAGGACAACCTGTGTTTCTCTTCAGGAAATGATCAAATTACCAAACAAGATGCAAGAAATGGTGGAAGGCCACATGTCTAAGCACAGATACAGCTGAATGGCTGTGGGGTTTGGATTGTACTGCTGACAGTGTAGGATGATTTGTAAACTACAGATCTCTAGGACACCTTTTCTTTTTGCACTGGAACAGGTGATCGACTCAGCTATTTATTTAGATCAAAGCAAAAGGAAGGGGAACTAATCCAAACAAGCAGGGAACTTTGACAGAAAGAATAAAGATGGGCAAACTCTTACTTTCTAAGCAGCTAGAGTGAAACTCGATGTAGAACTTGGTCTGGGACTTGGTCTTCAGAGTAGCATAGCAGTGCAGGAACTCTATCTCCCCTTGGGAATCTGTGTACTTGGAGTCTAGGAAAGAGGAAGGGAAAATAACAACATTTTCAGAAGGAGACAGAGAGAGCATTTTTCAGTGGACTCTTTAAGAATCAGCTTTTTCTTTCAACATATACAAAGCACTGGGCTTTGTAGCCAAAGAGGAAGACAGCACCCATACAGACCTGCACCCAACCCAACTCACCATTTTTTGAAACAAACTGTGAGGTGACTCCCACTTCAAAGGTGGCAAAGACAGGGCTGTGGTCACTGGTCATGATGTCCGTGGTGCAGCCTGGCAATGAGAAAGGAAGGAGAGTTACTGCCCTGTGTTTCTGCCCTGGCCCTGTGAGATTGCTGTGATAGAAATATTATTCAGTAGTTTTCCAGACAACGTAACTGTCGCTGTGGTAACTGTCTCTAGTCAAAGGTGTTTCTACATCATCTCATGTTAGAATATAGGAATGCAAATCTTGTCAAAATCCATGAAGATCTGGTGAGTGAACACAACGTTCCCAAATCGGTTTGTAAGCGACTGTCAGTGTTAGATTCCCCCAGCACAAAAAGCATTTGCAGGACTCCTGGTTGTGCTGCAACGTGCACAGCTACTGAAAGCTCCAAAACGGCCAGAAATCACACAAGAACACACTGCTGCTACTTCAGGGCTATGGAGCAGCTCCTGGCCCAGAACTGACAGCCAGAGAGCAGGGTCTTGGCTTGACCTAAGTGCACTGAACAGAAAACAGGGTGTAAAAACAGATCCCAAGCTTTCTAGAGGTCCTTATTTGACCACACACCTCCACCACAGGCTCTGTGATCAGATGAGTCCACCTTATCCCCCAAGAGACTCCTACAGCCCTCTTCTCACATACTCAGATGTTTGCTCCTACACTTAGTTGATGAAATTTCAGGAACAAATATCCCAGTCTTTTTTTTTCCTTTTTCTTGTGAGTTTCCTCTCTTCCCTGCACTGCACTTTCGTGACACTTCTCAGCAAGAAAAGTAACAGGCTGCAGGTACCACACAGTCCTTCTGGAATATGATTTGAGAGAAGAGAGATGTTTGCAGCTCCAGCCTCTACAGACTGGACTGTGTACAGAGGTCTGCCCTGCTGGCCCCATCAAGTCAGGAGCTCCTGCTGGTAACTGCACAGGAGAACTGGTTGTTATTGCCAAGAAATAACTGGTGTCAAGTGATCCCACAGCGTGGCCTGAAGCTGCAGCTGTCTGAGTGGTATGCTGCATATAAAAGAATATCAGAATTAATTCCTGCAAGGAATTAATGGCAGGGTTACAGGCAGAGAGATTTGGCTGCACTCTGCCTGGTTTAACATCAGGTCCCTCTAAGCTGAGTGCCTGGCAGTGCAGGGAGATCCTGCAGACTGCTCTGAATCATTTCCGCTTCAGACTGATTGCTTTGCTATCTCCAATCTGTTATCTACCCACCATAGGACTGACACACAACGTGCACCATGGGGTATGATTTCCAGAGCACTCGATCACACCAGGATGGCAAATTGTACTTCATCTGCAAACCAAAGGAGAAGTGATGTCAAGAAGAAGGGAAAGGACGGGTTCACAAAAGAACAGGAAATTCACTTGCCCAAGCATCAGACATTTGTGGCAAATCTTTTTGGTTGTATTGACTCCTTTCAAAACAGTCCAAGGGCAGAAGATGCAGAGGTTGGTTTAGGTGACTTTCTCCTGGAGGAAGTACTCTCCCTGCTCTGCTACATTCTTCTGAAGGGAAATGTTTTCACCTACCCCTGTAGCTTTCTGCTTGGTGTAAGCATACTTCTCCCGCGTGCCTCGCTCGAAGCGGTAGGTTGGAGCAAAAGTGATCTCTTCTTCCTCTAAAACAGAGAGAGAGCTCTGGTACAGCTTGGCCCGTGGAGAATCCCCCTCTGGGCAAGACATCCACTGCTCTGCACCAAATCTGGCAGAGAAAGTCACTGGAAATGGGAAAGGAACCTGCCAACAAACCTTACCGAACTGCAGGAACACCTTTTGGTCCTTTCTCTCTAGGAGAAGCTGGTCGAAAGCCAGCAGCTCCGGATACTGCTGCTGCCTGATCTTCTGGATAATATTCTCTGCTTCCTGCCAACAGGGAAACAGCAGAGCTGCAGATGATGCAAAACCTTCTTGTAAATACTCCCTTCGCTGGTGAGCCAGCAAATGCTTCACACCGTTGTACCCCCTGCCACTTCCCCACCTTTCCTGCACTGAAAGGCCCATCTCCATTGCATGGCTGAATGTTTGTGTATTGAAACAGGCATCAGGATGCCCAGATATCCCCTATGCAAGCACACACCCACCCAGATGCACATCAACACCAGGCTTGCTGTTGTCTCCCACCCACTGACACCTAGCCGGTATTTCTTACAGCCTGCCTGCTCTGGAAAGCCTGTTCTGGGCCACTGGAAGGCAAGCAAAGAGAGCAGAAAGGCAAGCTCTGGGTCAGGCTGTTCAGGGGTAGCTCTTGCTCACAGAGGGCAGGAGAGTTGGGAGCTGATGGGCAGCAATGCTGCCTGGAGCAGCAGAGTGTGCCGGGAGCTGTTCCTGGCACCATCAATGCTTGGAGAGGGCAAGGGGCATTTCCTTACTCTCCCTCAACCGCTGTCACATTGGTGCCCTGGGGGTCCCTCCTGCCTCCCCTCTTCCTGCCCTGGGTTAGGCAAGCAGAGCACTCCTATAGCAACAGGCTTTGTCCCCCCCTGCTGACCGCTGGGGGCTGCTCCAGGCGGTAGTTCAGGTCCCCCAGCCAGAAGAGGTGAGTGAAGCGATGGGTGATGTTGAAGGGACTCAGCTTCTTATCTCCCAGCGTCAGGAAGCGCAGGATGCTCGTGTAGTTCTGGTTGCGCCTGCCAAGACAAGACACATCTGCCTGACACCCTCCATTGCCATCCAGCTGCTGCCTGCCCGGGCTGCCGCTGTGCCAGGCAGGGACCCATCTGCTGGGCACTCAGAGAAGAGCAGAGCAGGAGCTGGGAACTCGCCCCACCCCCTGCCCCACGCTGCGGCTCAGCAGACGGGGTTCTGAGCTCAGAGCCTCCTACAGAGCCACCCTGCAGCCAGGAGGGCAGCACAGCTCTCGGGCTGCTGGGGGTGCTGTGCGTGGCCTGGGCAGCTGGGAGCTCCTCTGAGGAGGATGCAGGGGCATCTACAGCAGGTCTGCTCCACCTGGGGTGTCAGACTGTTTCCAGCTGAACTGAAAGGCTGGAAAGTTGTCTTAAAGCCACTTGGTTGCTTCCCAGGGCTGTGCTTTTCTGAGCTGCATGTCCTAGAAACGTAGCACGAGATTGTTGCCTTCAGAGTTGAGCAGCAAACACACAGCTAGGTTTTGGCAGCTACTCCAGGCCTCGGGGAACCCTTTCATGGAAGTTAACTCCAACAGTGGCAATGACCCTGTGCAGAAATCCCACACCATCTGTTTTCTGGGTCCTGGACTAGGG